TGACATGGTGGCTGCAATGATGGGCTCAAGTATAGCAGGGATTGTGGGGCTGGCACGGGATCGGGCAGTGTTTCATTCTGCTGTGCATGGGGTCGCTATGAGTTGGAAATGACTCGACGGCACTTAACAACAACAACAATAACAACAATGAATGCACATTATTCTATTTAAAACTATTTGGGGGCATTAGAGTTGCTTTCAGTACTTTGCTATTATAAATCATTCTTCAACTCATAGCTTTACATAGTAAGATTTTTTCAGTATTTCTGTATTGGATAAAGACTTTAGAAGTCACAGCAAGTCAATGTATTGGCTTGAGTAGCAGAAAAACTAGGGGGTGGAGATTGGTTTAAGGCACAGGGGCTAAATAATGCCTTAAGGAATCTGTCTTAGCATCTCCTGGGCCAGCTTCCTTCTCTGCTGGTTTTACTTTCAGGTCTGCTCCTTTATATCCTGCCTGCAGAAAGGCAGCTGCTCCTTCCTAACACTTCCAGAAGTCCCATGATTAATTAATACAACTGGGGGCAAATGCCCATTCTGAACAATCACTGGAGCCAGGTGGGAGAATGTTCTGGTTGGCTTATAGGACAGCCTTGCTCCCCTCTTATGTCACTCCCCCCTTTGTTCTGTACCACCTGGGCTCCTTGCTATTTTCTGAAACCACCCAGCCACTGAGGGCCATTGCTCTTGCCCTCACTGCCTCCCACACTCTTCTCCCAACATCACCATGGTTTGCTGCTCCCTTACTTCATTCAGTTCCCAGAGGCCTTCTTTGACCACCCTTCACTATCCTTTCTCCTTGATCTATTTTTCTTCCCAAACTTATCACTACCTGACATTCTATTATATGTTCATGTGGTTTATATTATTTGTCTCTTCCATAGGGACCACAAGAGCTGACATTGTTTGCAGTGATATCTAGCATTCAGTAAATATTTAGCAAATGATTAATGAATGAGTTTGCCAGGCCAGGTCATCCCTAGTGTCAGCCTACGCTATGGACAACTGGTGTCCTTGTGGTGTGATTCCCCAAAGAAAAAGTAAGAAAACTGAGCAACTATTATCAGATCAAGGAGGACTGGATGCTAGACTGGTAAAAAAATTGTCCACAAAAATTTTAGATCACTTTCTAAATTCCCAGGAGTGGGAAAGCCTAAAGGCTAATAATGTCTGAGGCTCTTGATACATGCACAAAAGAATGAACTGCTGTTCAATCCTGCGCCATCCCTACAATCGGTTGTGGGTCCAAAAAAAACCAAACTCACTGCCGTCGAGTTGGACCTGACTCACGGCGACCCTTCCTTGGGTTTCCGAGGTGGTATCACTACAGAAGTAGATTGCCCAACCTTCCTTCTGAGGAGTGGCTGGTGGTTTTGAACGGCCAGACTTCTGGTTAGCAGTCAAACTGTAACCCATAGGATTTTCTTTGGCTGATTTTCAGAAGTAGAGCACCAGGCCTTTCTTCCTAGGCTATCTTAGAAATTTGTGCAGCATCATAGCAACAAGTAAGCCTCCGCTGACAGATGGATGGTAGCTGTGCTTGAGGTACACTGGCCAGGACTCAAACCTTAGTCTGACACATGGAAGGCAAGAATTCTGTCACTAAACCACAAATGCCCCCTTGCTTCCACGTTAGCCTCCTTATGAAAATCACTTTGTAGCAGGCCAAATCATCTTTCTTAAATGCAGATCACATTATGCTGCTTCCCAACTTATAACTGGTAGTGTCTCATTGTACTTTGAATGAAATAAGGACACCTTACTCAAGTCATGCCAAGCCTGAAATGATTGTATCTCACCTTACTTCTTTGGCCTCATCTTGCTCTTCCTGCTGCTCACAGGCTTTCTTTTCTGCTTTGGAACCCACTCGTTCTTAGCACAGGGCACTGTACTTTCTATTTACCTAGAAGGCTCTGTCTTAAAATAAGCTTTCTTGTGACTACAAAAACCATGCAAGCCAAGTGAGAAACTTAGAATATTCAGAACATGTATATGTAGTAGAATAAAATTCTCCCATTACCTTGCTATCTGTCTTACAGATCTGGCCTGGCTGATTCCTACTCTTCCTCCTGGCCTCCTCTGAAATGTTATCCCTTGAGGAGGCCCTCCTTGGCTACTCTAAGGGTGCACCCCTTCCAGGCCTCTCCAGCAAACATGACGCATGTTCTTCAAGTCACTCACCACCCTTTTTGTTTACTTATCTGTTCTCCAGCTTCCACTAAAAAGTAAGCTCCATGGGGCCCTTTTCTTACTGTCCATTGCTGTATCCTCAAAGCTTAACCTGGTAGCTGGTGTATCAAAGACCTTCAATAGATATTTGTTGAAAAAAATTAATAAGCTCCTCTCCAAGAGGACCATACCAATTTATACTTCCATCAGCAGTAAGAATGTCCATTTCATCTCTCTCTGAGGCACTTTTCTTAGACTACAGCTCAAGAAATAGATTCTTTTTGGAGCCTCATTTCATGCCTTCCTTGGGGAGAAGCAATGGAACATTTTCTATCAGATAAAAACAAAACAAGAAACCAAACAGTTGTTGAATTGATTCTGACTCATTGTGATCCAATGTGTTTCAGAGTAGAGCTGCACTACAGAGTTTTCAATGACTGTGCTATTTTGGAAGTAGGTTTTCAGATCTCTGTTCTGAGGCACCTCTGGGTGGTCTCAAGCCTCCAACTGTACAGTTAGTAGGCAAGCTCTTAACTGTATCACCCAGGAACTTACCATTTGAACAGAGTTCAAGGTAAATTCTGTTATAGGCAGGTACATTAGAACAAGGCTACAACAGACTTTTACTTTCCTATCTAGTTTAAATACTGTTGTTGTTGTTATGTGCCATCGAGTCGGACCAACTCATAGCAACCCCTCCTTGGGTTTCCAAGGCAGTATCACTACGGAAATAGATTGCCCCATCTTCCTTCCAAGGAGTGGCTGGTGGGTTTGAACCGCCAGCCTCCTGGTTAGTAGTCAAGTGCCTTAGGCACTACGCGACCAAAGCTCCCAGTATAAATGTTGTTGTTGTTGTTGTTGTTGTTGTGTGCCATTGAGTCAGACCTGACTCATAGCGACCCCTTCTTGGGTTTCCAAGGCAGTATCACTATGGAAGTAGATTGCTCCATCTTCCTTCCGAGGAGTGGGTGGTGGGTTTGAACCACCAGTCTTCTGGTTAGCAGTCAAATGCCTTATGCACTATGCTACCAGAGCTCCCAGTTTAAATATAGCACAAGTTTAACCTCCATTATGTAAATGAGAAAAAAAAAAATTCCTTACTACTGCAGCTGGACTCATAGGAACTTTCTAAAAATGTTCCATTGTGTAAAAATTAGTAAATAATCAGCTTATGTATTTGGGATGTGAATGGCTATAACTTCTGTAATTCCCATCCCAAATTATCCAATTATATTAGTATTTTGATTTTTAAAACTCTCTTTAACCTGTTAATTGTTAACATTAGAGTACATTCATTTTTGTACATTAATTTTTAAAAGAATCTTAAATTCAAAAAAGCCTTACAAAAAGAGCTGATCCATATAAAAAGTATTTAATATAAAGAACACCAAAGCACCTTCTAGCAGATAAAAATTCCTGTGACATGTATCAGATAATTCTAATCAATTTTCCCTCTTTCTAAAATAGAAGTTGTTTGAATACAAAACAAGTTTCATGTCCTCATTTTTTTCAGACAGATCTTCAGAACAGCCCAACATAGGAATCACAATGAATTCAGCAAAATGATGGTGTTCTTAAAAAGAAATAAGCAATACAATGTTTTCTACTTTAAAAACAGCACCACTGGGGGAGAGGATATGCTCTTTAAGTACAGTCCCTATACAAGTGATTTACTAAAATTCACACAACCCCAGCTCTGAGTGGTTAACTTTTATAACTTTCCTGTGATGTGGGCTGGAAAACTGAAAGAAAGTAAAAAAAAAGGTAGCAACTCTGAAGAATCAAAAGATCCACTCTCACACCCACTGGGGTGTGTTCCTTCTTATCTGCCAGGAGTGTCACCAATCACTGACTTCGACCACAAAGGGCGTCTTCACATCTATCTTGCCACTGTTGACGATCCAGCAGTCAGTGAGTGGACGGTCGTGCCCATCAGTTGCTTGAAGTTCTATGGAGTGCACCACTGTCTGATGAGAGAAGAGTATACATATCATTCAGCTCTCACTAGGTGCTACAGCAATTGAAACATAAAATCAATGTCAAGTCAGAAAGCCCAAGTGCAAAATAAGCTTTCTTATGACTACAAAAAACCATGCAAGCCAACTATGAGAAACTTAGAATATTCAGAACATGTGTATATAGTAGAATAAAATTCTCCTATTACCTTGCTACTCAGAGAACATATAGGTAAATTTCCTCACTTCTTTTTATAAGCAGTTTATAGTCTAAAAAACAGTAAATTTTTGCATAAATACCTAGCTGTAATAAAATGTTCTCTCTGCTCACCTCAGTGTAAGAGTGCATATGGAATCTGAGTCCATTTCAGCTCCAGCCTATAATAGGTACAGGCATAATAAAATTGTCTGCTCATTTTAAAGCTGAGCCGAGCCATTATTCTACAGGTTGAGTATATTTCTCTATTCTGGAGGATTTTAGAAGCACATGTACCACATGTACATTTCCTAGCTCCCCAGAAAATCCTGCTATTTCTGTTGTTATTTATTTAAATAATGCTGCTGAAGATCACTGCATTTTCTTCTTTGTCTTGGAGGTTGCTGACACTTAGGTGAACATATTTATGCCCCCTTAAAAGCAAAGGGGGAAAGATCTTCAGGATATAATGGGGAAACAAACAACCATTGTTAAGTTCACACATTCTACCAGGAAACATATCTTGGTTTGTATTTTGGGAAAGAATAAACTCAATGGCAACAAATTGTTTTTCTGCTGTTTTGGTTTGAGGTTTATTAAAATAAAGTCGCTAAAATTTTCTGGTTTATGCCAAGGGATGATGTTGCACTAATGTTTATATTTCAAACTGAGTGAGAGAAAATTGGTCAAGGACTAAAAATGTAGGCTTTTGATGGGTTTCCCAAACAGGGTTGAGATAAACATCACAACACAGGGTCTGAATGCCTTGGACATAGTATCAACTAATTCAGGCTCTGGCTGGACTCAGGTTAATTTAGAATAAAGGGCAAATGTTCTTCTAATAATAATGTATATTTCTACACAGGTTGCGTGTGTGTGTGTGTGCGCGCGCACTCGTGCATCTAAAGCATTAGCTACTCATCTGAATTACCTGTAGTGCTTTTTAAAAAATGCATTTTTGTGGGTCCATGTCGAGAAGTTCTAATTTAGTGTGTGTGAGTTGAGGCCCAGATAACTGTAGTATTAAAAAGCAACCCTGATATCTCTGGAAGATCAAGGGGAGGAATTCAGGAGATTCGTCAAACTCCTTATAACTATGAAAATCTCATGTACACGTACACTTTTTTTCCCTAGAGAAAAAGTCTATAGCCCTTATCAGTTTCTCAGGGGGGGAATAAAAACACTGCCATCAAGTCGATTTCAACTCATAGAGACCCTACAGACAGAGAAGAACCCCCACTCTCATAGTGTTTCCAAGGCTGCTTTATGAAAGCACATTTCTCACATTTCTCCTGCAGAGCAGTTGGTAGGTTCAAACCACCATCCTTCTGGTTAGCAGCCAAATGCTTTAACCATTGCACAAGAGCTCCTTCTAAGTTTCTCAGAGGAGTCTTTAACCCATGAAAGGTTAAGAACTCTTCCTCTTAGACCAGGTAGCAGTTCTCCTAGGATGCATACAAATAGGTGGAAGGAGGTTAGTGCAGGTGAGGCAATAAGACATAAAATCTTGAGGATTAGAAGATGTAAAGCCATGACCAGAACAGGAAAATAGAAAATTTGTACTCTCGATTTTTCTTACAGCATAGCATGATGTTGTAAATACTTATTCAATTAATGAATGAATTCATTTACATTCAAACTATTTAAAAGCTGGTTATGCACAATGGGCTAGAACCTAGGTTGATTTAACACATGTATGCCAATCTTTAACTCATTTCAAAAGCAAAGTTCAGTAAGAGACTTGAAGAGCACTGGCATTCCTTATTACTCAAGAATAGATTCTTCTGAGGATAATTATGGTTCATGAGAGTAGGTATGTCTTTATTGTGATAAGATGTAAAGAGATTTTAAGTGATAGGTGTTTACCTCATTATTCTCATTCCACTGTAAAGAGAATCCTATCTTTGACGGCTTAGTCTGAATACTACCTTGCTTGGTCAGGAAGGTTCTGAACCTGACAGCTCAGTTGCTAGCTTTTGTCTGGAAAGAATCAGAATAGCAAGCAGAAGTTGCTGACGAACTATAAGGAGTAAAATTGGTTTATGTACGTCAGGATGAGGGAGGCAGAATAAGTCACATAAAAACAAAACAAAATGAAATTTGAGAGTTGGAGTCAAGGATGGTCTAGCCTTAGGTTAGGCAGATTTTACAGTTGTCACTAGAGGCTGAGAGAGCTAGTTTAGTTACTATGGAGGAAAAATGTTGAGAGTGAAAGGGAATGAGAATTTTAAGGAATATTCCCACGGGTTATGAATTGGACTCCTTTAATATTCTTTGAAGGAGCTTAGTGGTGCAGGAGCTAAAGAATTCTGCTAATCATAAGGTTGGTGGTTCAAACCCCTCAGCTGTTCTGTGGGAGGAAGATGAGGCACTCTACTTCCGTAAAGAATTACAGCCTAGGAAACCAAATGTAGCAGTTCTAATCTGTTTTATAGGGTCTCTATGAGTCAGGATGGGAGCTCTGGTGGCGTAGTACCTAAGGCACTTGACTGCTAACAAGAAGGCTGGCGGTTCAAACCCACCAGCCACTCCTTGGAAGGAAGGTTGGGCGATCTACTTCCGTAGAGATACTGCCTCAGAAACCCAAGGAGGGGTCACTGAGTCAGAGATGACAGCACATAACAACAACAACAACGTGAGTTAGGATGAACTCAAGGCAGTGGAGTAGAATATTCTTTGAGACATGTTAGCATAGATATGAACTCTCTTTAGTAATTTTAGATTTCTAGATTATATGTCTTTGAATGTGACCTGAGTTTGGGCTAAAGCACATGAGGCTCTCTCTGGCTTTATTTGGTTACATGAAAAAGGGCTCTTCATTTACATCAAGTAGTGAGACAAATAAGTAGTCATTTTCTCCATGCTGAGTCCCTATCATCTGTTCCAACACACTCAATAATTAAAAATAAATTAATTAATTTTAAAAAAATTTTAAAAAGTACACAAAAACACATGCATGTATCATATATATAATATATAATACCATATATAATTTTCCATACCATATATAATTTAAGAGGGCAGTCAGGTATAATAATAGGTTTCTAGAAAGCACATTTTAAGATTTAAAAAAATACATCACATTACCATCCCATCAATGACTTTTCCAAATACCACATGTTTGCTATCCAACCAGGAAGTCTTGGTCAAGGTGATAAAGAACTGAGAGCCATTGGTGTCAGGCCCAGCATTGGCCATGCTGACCCACCCAATGCCATAATGCTTCAGCTTGAAGTTCTCATCTGGAAATGTCTCACCATAAATGCTAACACCTGGGTAAGACCAAAGAAAAGGAGGTGAGTCAACAGATGTCAATTGAAAGCAGACTCTTCAAAGGAAAACAAAGGCTCTAGTGGAATCTGATAGGAGATGGGGATGGGAAAAAGATGGGCAAAAATGAGGAGGTATGAAGGAGAAAATAAATCAGCTCCTTAATGAAGCAGGGCACCAGGGTCTGAAACAAACAAATAAAAAGCTTTATATCGGGCACATGATGGCAGGATACCCTCTGCCCTCAAACCAAGCACCAAAGCTTAAACACCTGGGTCAATGATTTTACTCTGAAATGAAAAGGAACTGAAGGGCAAGATGACATGCTAAAGCCAGATGAAAAGATGGGTGACCTATCTAGTGACTCAGTCTCTGTCCTGGGATATAGGTCACTTGACCCAGAGGTGTGCTGGTTCCAGGTGTGGTGGGTCATTCCTACCTCAGCACACAGGTAAGGTACACCAAGCACTTAATATACACTCTGAGCTAATTCACACAATAACTCCATACAACAGGCAATCTTAATACCATTGCAAAATAGGAATTCAGTCCACAATACTTGAAAATACTAGAGCACAATTTGGACATCGGACTTTCTGACCCTGAAGCTGGTGCTCTTTCCTGCCTCAGCACTAACAGCAATAGCAGCAGGTCTGAAAGTCATTAGGAACAACTTCAGAATACAGACAGTGAACAGGATTGGAAGCCTCTAGTGATCCAACCTTGAAAGAAGAACCAAAGAGATGTAGCAAAGCAGCAGGCAGAATAGAACACATTTTCCCATCTAGCAACAGTAGAGAGAAGGAGAGGTACCTGCCCCATTCTCAGATATCTCGGAGAGTCTTGTCATGCCCAGCCCCTTCTGCGGGGCTCCTCATCCACTGGATGATAACCACAAAAACCTGACTGGAGGGACCAGAAGTGGACATCAAAGGCAAGCAATGTATAGGAGGTTGGTCAATGACATAGGAGGTGGCCTTGCAGGCACACTCTGCCCCACAGTGTGATCTAGACTAAATAGACCCCAAATGTCTTCTCTCCAAAACTCAGACAACTTTAACTCAAGATATACTCACACAAGGCAGGAAAGAGGGGAAGAGAGAATAGCAGAAAAGAACAGAAAAAGCTCAGACACCACTTCTGCTGAGTTCTAGGGTAGGAAGGTGGGATGTCAGTACCAACAGGACAGGTTTTTCTGTGAGACCTGGATGTGCAGCAGCTAGAGTAGCTTTCCTGAGCATCCTCAGTAAACCCTATTAACCACAGTAACCTGAATACGTTTCTCTGCTCCTTTTATACCCCTTTATATTTTTGCAAGTGCTAAAAGTTAACTTTTATAAAGTGCCTAGCAAATCAGAACATTTAATGGTAACCCTGGTGGCACAGTGGTTAAAATCCTTAGCTGCTACCCAAAAGGTTGACAGTTCTGCCACTGTGTGGCAGAAAGATATGGCAGTCTGCTTCCATAAAGATTACAGCCTTGGAAACCCTATGGGGCCGTTCTATTCTGTCCTATAGGGTCACTATGAGTTGAAACCACTCCCCAGCGATGGGTTTGACTTTTTATTGTTGTTGTAAGGAATAATGGTGGCACAGTGGTTAAGAACTTGACTGCTACCTGAGAGGTCAATGGTTCAACTCTCCCAGAAGCTCTGTAGGTGAAAAAGCTTGGCAATCTGCTCCTGTAAAGATTTCTGCCTAGGAAATCCAATGGGGCAGTTCTACTCTGTCCTACAGAGTATGACAGAATATGACTGTTATGAGTTGGAATTGACTCCACAGTACACAACGTTTTTATTATATGACTCTCTGGGGAGCACAAATGGTTGTAGTCCACAACTGAAAGGTTGGTATTGGAACCAACCCAAGGCACCTACTTCCAGAGGTACCTGGAAAGTCAGCTACCTGCTTCTGAAAGGTCACGGCATTAAAAACCCTACAGAGTAGTTCTACTTTACACACATAGGGTCACTATCAGTTGGAATTGTCGTGATGGCAGCTAACAATTTTTTTATATAAATAATTAAGTAATTGCAATAAACGTAAAAATACCCTTAAAATGGCCTAAATATTTAAGTTAGCAATCTGACAGCCTCCAAAACCAGCACTTGTTGAATCAGAAATCTTAAACCTGAAGTAAATTTAAAGTCTGGAGAGTTACATACACAGTGTGTGCTCAGGAAAAAAGTTACTGCATTTTTGAGGGAAAATAAAAATACTTGAAGAAGCTCAGTACAGCTACAATCCTCAAAGACAGGATTAATATTTGTTGTTGTTACTTGCCATCGAGTCGAACCCGACTCATAGCGACCCCTCCTTGGGTTTCCAAGGCAGTATCACTACGGAAGTAGATTGCCCCATCTTCCTTCCGAGGAGTTGCTGGTGGGTTTGAACCGCCTCTGGGATTAATATTTAGACTTCATGAACTCTAGCTTTGTATACATGAAGCCATCCAGTCAACTGAGATTGTATGTTTATATTAGAATTTTGAGAATTCAACTATTAACTTTTAATTTTAATTACTGAGAAGGATGACAACAAAAGGAAAGACAATTTTGAAAGAAGAGGGAAAATTCAGCTGTAATCCTGCCACCTAAGCACCATCTTGTCATTCTAGCATGAGACACGTCCCCATCCAGTCCTGTTCATCAGCATCCACGTTTTAGCTGTCATCCTAGTGCAGCTAGGAATATAAAGTTTTATATTTTACCTTTTCCATTTCTATGACACATTCTTCTGTATTGCCAAACACCAGTAGACTAGCATTTTAATGACTGTAAAATAGTCTTCCAAATGAATATATCTCCACTATGGAAAAACAATGAACACCAAAATAATGCCATTTAAAATTAGGAAGCCTCACGTATTCATATCTACCAAGATGCCCCCAAAACTCTATCCTTCTAAATAATTAGTTTTCTATATGATTTTGTTCCTTAAATGTGGGACTTCAATCTGGGTTAATATATTGGCTTAATCTTAGGTTCAATTTAGTAGGAAGAAAAAGGAAAAATGCAAGAGAGAATCTTACCGCCTGTGCCATCTCCAGCGGTGAAGTCCCCTCCTTGAATCATGAAATCTTTGATGACACGATGAAATGTGCTTCCTTTATATCCATATCCTTTCTAAAGAGATTATTTCAATTGAATATACAAGTAGATATAACCCATACTGAAAGATAAACCCCAGTGTTTATCTGGAAATGACAAAATGAGAAAATTAAACAAAATATCTATAGAACTTCATTAGGTTCCAGTAATGATTCACTGATAGAAATTTATCAATAGCTGACCAGTAAGAATAACAATTAACTATGGAGGTAAGGAGATATGTAGGAAGTAATAAACCATGGAAATAAGGTATTAAAGTGAATAATACTGAAAGATAAACCCAGTGTTTATTTGGAAATGACAAAATGAGAATATAAACAAATATCTACAGAACTTCATTGTTGTTGTTGTTGTTATATGCCGTCGAGTCGGCCCCAACTCATAGCGACCCCTCCTTGGGTTTCCGAGGCAGTATCACTACGGAAGTAGGATTGCCCAACCTTCTTCTTCATTAGGTCCCAGTAATGATTCACTGATAGAAATTTATCAATAGCTGACCAATAATAACAAGTATGGAAGTAAGGAAATATGTAGGAAGTAATAAACCATGGAAATAAGGTATTAAAGTAAATAAGTAAAATAGAGCAATCTGCATTTTCACCTAATGAATTAAATAAATGAAATATGGTAAGATGTCAGAGGTTCATCTCAACTATTAATTTAATACTTATTTTTCCCAGATTTTAATATTTGGATTAAAAGAAGTAAAATGCAATTTCATGAATAGTTAAAGGAAATAAACTGAGATATACCTCTCCTGTTGCCAGAGTGACAAAATTTTCCACAGTCTTGGGCACAACCTTTCCAAACAAACCAATCACAATTCTGCCAACTTCTTTGTCTCCAATCATCACATCAAAGAAGACCTGCACATGGTTGAAAACGTGAAAGATTATATCCTGGAAAAGCTACATATACAGATATATCAAAAATTAAAATCTGAGAATTGAACCATACACAAAAGCTTTGCCCACCAGTATTTTATAATGAACTTGTGAAAGAACATGGTATGAATGAAAGGAGCTCAAAAATAATAAATATTTATTGGGCACCACCTATGGGCCAGGAACTGTTGAGGTACGGGGTTTAACATTTGATTCAGTCCTGTCAGAGTCAATCAATAAAATCTTCAAGAATTCTACTTCCCCTCCCCACCTCAAAAGGCTCAGACAAACACTGCTGCTAATTCCAGACTCCCAGCTTTGTGGATGAAGTTTAAAATTGAAATTGTTGCTGTTTCAAAAGGTAATGTTCTCTAATCTCTCCAGGAAGTGGGGGGAGGGGGGAAAAAAAGGTCAGGAGAAAAGTAGATTAACCAGCTAGACTTATTTATAATTTCCAACAGTGCTAAATTCCAGTGAATTCGTAATAGATGTCTGTTGTCAAGGGGACCAGAGATGATGAAAGTGTAACAGTCTTTCAAAAGGCCTTCCACTCACTCCCAAGCAGAGTAAGGTACCAGGTCGCCATCCTCATCCGACCTACAACAAACATTACCCTAGGCTAGGGCCTGACAAAACCATTTACCTCTAAAGTAAGACACTGGGTTCAGTTGTCATGTTCCTAAAGTTACGTTGTTGTTATTTGCCGTGGAGTCGGCCCCGACTCATAGTGACCCCTCCTTGGGTTTCTGAGGCAGTATCACTACGGAAGTAGGATTGCCCAACCTTCCTTCTGAGGAGTGGCTGGTGGGTCTGAACCGCCAGCCTTCTGGTTAGCAGTCAAGTGCCTTAGGCACTATGCTAACAAAGCTCCTTCCCAAAGTTACAGAAGCAGAATTTGTTCTTTCTCCACCACAACATTTTAGAACAGGAAAAAGAACACCTATCTAAGAAGTGAGTGTGAGTCACTTACTTAGAACTTCTCTTTGGACTTTTTATTAAAAAAAAAAAACTGTTTCATCTAAAAAGAAATTACACACATTTTGCTTCACAAATCACTGTTAGGATGATTTTGAGACAGAACACTTGAAAAGACCATGAAGTCAAAGGGCATTCTATTAGCGAGTTTAGATTATATGAACCAATTCACTGTTTGAATAGGTAAAAAAAAAAAAAAAGACATTCAAGAGATGGCTTTAAAAAATATAAGAAGGGTTGTCAAAGAAAAAAGATGTCTTACAGTTTAGAAAAATCACTAAGTAAAGACTGTCAAGCTTTAGCTCAAGACAAGAGCTTCTGCCAGTACATCAGTATGTCTGTCATGGGCAATGTGATATTTAGTGTTCCATGTGGCATTTTACAATTTTTACATGTCCAAAGCAGCACACATTTTATTATTATTTATTTAGTAGAGCTTTCCAGAATGCTTAAAGGACTTTGCCCTTGAGATGAGGTAACCCAGTAGAGGATACTCAGCAGTGGCTCGAGGATAGGAAGTACCTCCACACAAGGCTGATTAGCGCAAAGCTGGTACTACAAAGATGCAGGTTCTCCAAAGGAATTCCCAAGCCAAGGTGTAAATTCAATAACGGGCAGTAATGGAGCAGCACTTGAGAATCAAGGACATATTAGAGAAACATTGTATGAGACAACAGGAAAATCATCCAGACATTTAAAATTAAGAAGAGAAGATGAAGCCTGTGCATTTGTAGAAGACAAAGAGAATAAAATCTGGGAGAGCAGCATGCGAACATGAAGAAAAAGTGACTCTCATTCGGCATGACTCTTCAATGAAAGTCGTCTTTCATACACACCTAGCTCCTCTGTCACATGGGGTTGCTATGAGTTGAATCGACTTGATGACACCTAACAACAAGACCACATACATTTTTTTTCCAAAATTCAAGTGCTATGTGAATCTTCAACTTCCTGTATGAGTATACAGCAGCCTCCAGTCTTCCCAACTTTAATGGGAATAATAAAATCAAAGTTTATTTATCTATAAGTATTTATGAACAACCTATAGAGCATGAGGAGCATAAACTGTATATAGGTGAGTCCCTGTCTTCAAGTAGCTTCAAACAGAAAGATAGGACAATAAACAAGGATTGTACAGGCAGCATGTGACACGTGCTCCGAAAACCTGGAGGAATGTTCAGCGGGGAGGGAAGGCATGGAGAAGGTGTGATGTGAGGCAGGCCTGGGAGGATGGGGGACATCTGGAGAGTTCCTTTTGGGGCCAAAGCACCAAGGAAGCTAATGTGACTTGTGTGCAGAGAAGCAATGCAGCCCCTGTGACCACAGGCCAACTCAAGTGGAGGGAGATGAGGCTGGGAAGGGGAACTTCTGCCAGTTCTAGAAGCTGGAAGGGTGCCGGCCTAAGAGGTCCAGAGACCAAGAAAGAGCAGGTCCTATGCAAGGCTTTGGGAATATTACTCAAAATGGGGGAGGAAGAGAAATCTGGAAGCTCTTAACACTGGTTTAAGAATGTCATCATAATGGCCTACAATGGGGTGGTGGCTGAGGTAAAAGGTGGAGGCAGAGGGGAGAGGCATTTAAAGGAAGGGAGAGGAACTGGACTAGGAGGGAAAGAAATGAACATGAATTAGCTAGTTGTCTCTCAATGTGCTTTTAACTACTTTATCTATATAATGCACCATCACCACATCCTTATGTCTGAGTGGAGTGGGGATTGGGAAAGTAAGTGATTTAACAGTTTCCCAGCTAGGAGTGTGAGAGCCAGAATTTTATCCCAAGGCTACCTCCAGTAAAATTGATTTAATCTCCCAATCTAGGCAGGGAGCCCTTAGGGAGTAGAAGCAGTGTTTTTAGATCTCCAGTGCCCAGCACAATATTGGCACAAGCAAGTACTCAAAAAATGTTAAGGAGCTAAATGCCAACTGCTACTGAATAAGGACCAGAGGAGACAGGAGGTAAAGGTGGGCCCAAGGTGGCCGTTTCTCACTCCCCACTCTCTAACCATGATATTCATCTCTGAATGGATAGAGTGTCCTTGTGAACAAGGCCCTATGTGGGAACAAGTGGTGAGGCTACAATGCTCCTACCCTTATGGAGTTTACAGTCCAACAGAAGAAAAGAAACATACATACACAAATAGCTATAATGCAAAGGGGAATCAAGTTTATAAGAAAAAAAAAAAAAAATTCACTGCTGTCGAGTTGGGTCTGACTCATAGTGACCCCTCCTTGGGTTTCCGAGGCAGTATTGCTACAGAAGTAGATAGCCTGATCTACCTTCTGAGGAGTGGCTGGTGGGTTTGTACCATCAGCCTTCTGGTTAGCAGTCAAATGCTTTAGGCACTACACCACCAGAGACAAGTACTGATAAAATGTTATGGTTTGGACTAGTAATTATCTATAGGGATTAGGATGGGCTTCCTGGAAGAGGTGATACTTGGATTCCATGTTGCATTTTGGTAGGGGGTGAGGGGCAAGAAGCTGACACCTTGATCTCCCTTGGTTTCTCCCCTTAAGGCTGCCCTTGAAAGTTATTCGGAAAGTAAGCGGTCCTAGAGCTGGAGGAAAGCAGGGAGTAGTGGGAAGAGGTACTTACACAGCCTAATTCAGACTTCATTGGGTTAATCCTGCTTCCATTTTCCAAAATAACTAGGAAGATACCAAGTACATCAAGTAAGCTATTCTCAAGCCCAGCTCCAATCTTATTGGCTATGGGACCTTGGGCCAGTTAATTAAACTGTGAGCTCCCACTCCTCATCTGTAAAATAAAGATAACTTCCTTGAGAGTTGAGCTATCACAGTATGAAAAATAAGAGTAACACAAGTAACACTAAACAACTGACCTCTTAAAACAGGTGCCATAGGCTAAGCACCTTACCTGCTTTATCACATCTAATATGTACAAATCCTCCCATCCACTGCTATTGAGTCTATTCCAACTCATAGCAACCCTTTAGGGCAGAAAACCAAAGGGTTTCCAAGGCTATAAATCTTTACAGAAGCAGAGTGCCTCATTGTTCTCCTGTAGAGCAGCTAGTGGGTTTGAACCATCAACCTTTTGGTTAGCAGCCAAATGTTTTAACCACTATGCCACCAGAGCTCCTTACAGCCCTCCCAAAAAAACCAAAACCAAACTCAATGCCATTGAGTTGGTTCTGACTCATAGCGACCTTCACTGGGTTTCTGAGGCAGTAAATCTTTATGGAATTAGATTGCCCTATGTTCCTTTCAAGTAGTGGCTGGTAGATTTGAACTGCCAACCTTCTGGTTAGCGGTCAAATGCCTTAGGCCAGAACTCCTACAGCCCTCCCAGAGGGTATTATTTGTCTCCATTTCTCAGAGGAAACTGAGCCTCAGGCGTTGGCTAACTTACCCAAAGTTACATAGCTGTGGCCTCTTGGCCACGACATCATATACAAAGCGCTTGCAAGCCATGATGAGTGGATCAAGCTAGAAAGATGCCAGTGCTATTTTGTATAGTCTCAGTCCCTGACCCTACATTTGGCATTTTCAGGGAAATACTGGGCTTCAAAGGCCAGTTCAGCAGATCTGAGTCTAATGAGCCAGAACTCCCACCTGAGCCTCTATGGCTTGAGCAGGAAGCTGCCAGGTGACCCAGCGGTGGGATAAGTGGCTGAGTTTAGTGTTCCATAAGAGCCCTTCTGAGAGAAAGGCACCTCATCTCTCTCTTATTTACAGATACTTATTTTTAAATGAAATCAGAAGTAGAAGAAAGTGCTCTGCTGGGGCAAACAATACACTAGAGCAGTGGTCAATTAATCTACTTTTCTGTTCTCAGAGAAATAGTTTTTAATGTCTTCATTCTTCCAATGGATTTAGTTGTTTAAAAGAGCTCACTAGAAATGTAATTCAACACAGTCCAATCTGTAGAAGGCTCACATACACAATTAGCTTTTACAACTTGATAAATCTGGTGGGGAAAAGTGACATTTCAAGTGACAATTCTGAGAGTACATGTAAACCCTGCCTCAGTGATAGTGTCTTAGACTTAGCCTCAGATGCTCTATTCTTCTCCTTCAGTTAGCATTCAGCCCAGCCCCCCAGCTTCCTCCTCTCCTGGCTGCCTCTTGTAGTGGTTCCCAACCAGGCTGCACATTAGAATCACTGGGAAAGCTTTAAAAAGATAGGAGGCCTCACACCAAGATTATGATAGTAATTTTTTTTTTTTTAAATAAAAGCTTCTGAAGTTTGTCCCCAAATATTGCAAGAGACATACTTATAATGAAAATTAGTTTATCTAAAATTCATATTTAATTGAGGATTCTGTGTTTTATGTGGCAATCCTACTGTTTCTCTCACCCCCTATCTATATTATCAAGTCCTGTCAGTTCTACCTCCAAAATGTATTTCAAGTCCATTCTCTGCTCCCATCTCCACTACTACTACCTTAATCTAATCCACTATCCTCTGGAGTCTGCTATGTAGCCCTGAATGGCCTCCACTGGGCAACCACAGTAACTCTGTGAAAGCATCTATGAGATGTCATTCTCATGCTTAAAACTCTTCAGTGGTTCCAACTGCACTTAGAATAGGACAATCACTCTTTACTATGGTCTTAAAACCCATACCCCTACCTGTGGCTTCTAAGGCCCTGCATGATCTTGCTGCTTGCCCTTCCAACCTCATGTCAAGCCATCCTCTTTTCTCATCCCCATGAGATGGCTCACAGTTCAAACCCACCAACCACTCCTCAAAAGGAAAACTAGGCAATCTACTTCCATAGAGATATTGCCTCAGAAATCCAATGAGGGGTCGCTGTGAGTTGAAATCAACTCCACAGCAGTGAGTTTGTTTTTTGGTTTTTTCAGAAGCTACACCAATCCTCTCTCCATTCTCTGAACACATTGATTACTTTCCTGTCCTGAGGACTTTGTACATGTGGTACTTGCCTCCTAAGTGTTTTTGCCACACTGGCTTTCTCATCCTTCATGCACTTAAAAATGTCCCTCATCTATATTTGCATGCATTCCCTTCACCACAGTTAGAAACATTTGCAATAATCTGTTTCCTGTTTATTTTGCCTACCACAATGGAATGGGAGCTCCACAGGGCCGGGACTCTGTGCATCTGGTTTATTCCTTATCTCAAGAACCCAAATAGTATCTTTAGGCCCAAAGCACCCCAGTTCAGTATTGTGGCCGTATGCAGTCATTTATATCTCAAAGCTACTTATGCCCAAAAGGAGCTCTGATGGCTTAGTGCCTAAGGCATTTGACTGCTAACCAGAAGGCTGGCAGTTCAAACCCACCAGACACTCCCCGGAAGGAAAGCTGGGCAATTTACTTCCGTACAGATACCGCCTCCGAACCCAAAGACAAGGGGGCTGGGAGTAGAATCAGAGCTTCTCAAAAGAGCTAGGCAAAGTTTATCACCTCCCTCCAAGTCTGACTTCTGGAACATCAGCTGTTGGGCTAAACGTCCCCCTTCTTCTTCTTCGTAGTTGCCTTAGTGTTGGTCCCTGACTTATGGTGACACCCCATCCACAAGGGGATCTGATAATGGGGTTTCAAGACTACTTTCAACTGCATCTCCTCTCCACCCCCATCCATGACCCATTCCAAAGGACTACTAGGTTTCCTAGAAGTGGTGACTGTGGGCACCAAATCATTCTCCCGTTCTCTCTTTCACTCCCCTTGCTCCCGCACGCTCTCGTTATCTTCTAACATGGGGCAAATGTTATGAAAAAAGAACTGAATTGGTGTTAGTGTGAAGCTGTAAAGGTGTGGTCCTTGGCAGAAACCGAAAGGCTGGCCCGGGTCATACAGGTGAGGCTTTTGCCAGGGCCAGCCTACTAGTACCGGAAATCTATGGACAGTGCTCTCTCTCCCGTGTAAGGGCGACAGTTTCTAGATATAGGAGGAGGAGGGCTGCCTCTCTCTTAAGCGAAGCATTTAAGCCTTTACGGACGCCCCGCCGCCTCCGCGTTTGCAACCTCGCGGCTCAGACAGAGAGCATCCCGACCGCCCGTCCCGGCCCCTCCTGCATTCTTCCTGCTTCTGCTCCCAAGTCCCTGCCACGCCGAAGGAAGTACTAGACAGTCTCCTTCCTGGAGAAAGGGCCCGCCGGTTCCGGAAGCTCCTCTGCGCCCCCGGGCTGGTCACGTCGGACCATCGACCCCAGAAGCTGAGTACAAACAGCCGGCGGCGGGGCAGGTTGGCACTCTGCCCAGCACACCCGAAGTCTCCCCAGAGTGCTGCCCCTCCGCGCGCAAACAGCTCTCTCCTATCCAACCCCGCGGCCGCCTCCTGTCCCCCTGCGCCCAGGGAAGCACCCTTCTCGCCGCCCCTAAGACAGAGGTCCTAGCCCCCCAAAACTCCCTCCTCCACTTCTCCCCAGCTTTCATGAGGGGTAAGTTGCTGCCCGCCGCTCGGTCACCTTGGCTGTCACCGAGGGGCCTCGTTTGCGGGCCCCTGAGGCCCTCGAAGAGGGCACGAGCGCGCTGAGCCCCACGCAAATCACGAGAGGTAGCAGCAGCCGGGGACCTGGGCCCATGGTGAGAGGTGGCGGTGGTGGTAGCGGCTCGGCCGCGACCGCAGGCTCTAGGTCCCTTGGCGCGTCTCCTAGTCGCTGCGCCTGCGCGCTCCCGGTTGAGGGGGATGGGGATGGGTTGGGGCGGCCCGAGCGGGGCGGGGATCCCGGGCGCGCTCCTCCCAAGTTCAGCTTTGGGGCTCCTAGAGGCGCACGCAGAGGGCGCAGTTCTGGTCGTACTTTTGGGCCAGCGGCGGGTTCGCGGGGCGCCAGGCTGAAAAGGAGCTTGCGCTGCTCGGGCGCGAAGCCGCAGAGAAGCGTGTACCTTCGGCGCTCAGCTCAGCAGGCTTTGTCCCGGAGCCTGAAAGCTGAGTGGTACGGAACGCATGGGGGAAAAAAATATTGCATTGGCGCGTATTAAACCCAAAAGGAAAGTGGCAGAGTTTTCCAGCTTCGTGAAATTTGCGCACCGCGGGGGAGCCGGAGAGGGGGGTACTTTGCCAACGGGCCTGTGACCGAAGCCGCCAAAGGTGCAGCCTCCGCAGCGATTGCCGGGTCCCAGTGTTCCAACAAAACCTTTTGGTAAACTTTGGCCACTTCTCAGAACTTTGGGGTTACCTGAGTGGGTTCAACTGGATTTTGCGCGTCGAGTGGAGATGATTCATTTGTGCTTCGGAAGAATTGAAAACTACTGGATTCACAGTCCCTTTGCACTGAAAAAAACTTTTTAAACCTGATTTTAAATACTTCAGTAGTCTTTTTTATTTGAGGATGATTTTGTGATCTTATCAACCTATACTGTTTATGATACAGGGCAGCACTACACTGACCCAGAATCATGGCCAAATAAAATTATTTCGTGTGAAAACAAAGTAGACAAATCGACTTTTAGGTATACCTGTAGGATGGAATTTTTACAAACTTAAGAACTATGTTTAGGAAAATTATTTGATGAAGCAGGGAAATGCCCATTATACTTTTTAAATGGAAAAAGTTTGTAAAACTGCATCTTTGTTGTTGTTGTTGTTGTTAAGTGCCGTGGAGTCGTTTCAGACTCATAGCGACCCCATGCACAGCAGAACGAAACACTGCCCGGTCCCGCGCCAACCCCACAATCCCTGCTATACTTGATCCCATCATCGCAGCCACTGTATCAATCCATCTCGTTGAAGGCCTCCCCCTCTTTCCTCGACCCTCCACCCTACCAAGCATGACATCCTTCTCCAGGGAATGGTCCCTTCTTACAACATGACCAAAATAGGTGAGACGAAGTCTGGCCATTC